TACGCAGCAAAGCCCGCGTCATGGGCTTTGCGCAGGCGTTCACTGTTCTCACGTTCTTGTCTTTCGTTGCGCACAACGTCGTCTCGTGATGAGCCCAGTCTGTCAAAAAGCATGGTATATTCGTCGTTAATCAGATACAAGCATCGCGAAAGGTCCCTATACACATCGGTAACATCGTCAAACTCCAGGCCAGTACAGAAGCAAGCGAATCTACTCGCGTCCACCGACCCTCCTTTCGTAGTCGTCTTCAAGCCTAGAAGCATCCACCACCTCGACGCCCTTGCCCAGCCCGATCATGTCATTGCGAACCTGCCACCACCTAACAGTGTGCTCGCTCTCCTTGCCCTTGCGCATGGGGCCCTCGTCGTCCGTGTCAACAAGCCCACCAAGGCCAGTGCCATCACCGCCAACAACAACAATTGTCTGTCCAACCCACTTCCTGATGTCATCAATGTTCTGACCGTTCACGCCGCTCAACGCATCGACTACGTAGACAAGCTCCGGTCCGAGGTGCCTGAGCATATGCACGAAGCCAGTGGTGGTGTTGAAAGGCATGACCATGGCTGGGTCCTCGACGAGGCGGAGGGCCTGAGAGTGGAGGGTGTTCCAGAGTGAGTTGTCAGAGCCCCTGGTGCTTGGTGCGGGTGTGTAGATGACAGGTTCGACGGACGACAGCTCCTCGCCTGGTGTGCGTGCGGGTGTGCTGATGGCAGAGTATGAGTCGCCGAGCGAAGACGAGCCAGTGCGTGAGTTAGCGCGGGATTGTGGGCGCGAGCGCAGCGATGGGGAGTAGATGAGGACGAAGAGCTTGGTTCGGGAGAAGTCGGTGTCGGGGAGGTGAGAGAGGATGGTCTGCGAGCTGTTAGTTCTGGCACGTGAAGAGAGAGATGAGACGCAATGCTTACAGCGTTTTCTTCGCGGTACGAGCCCTCGTCATCGTCCAACCGGTCCAGGCTTTCTGCGCTGACGACCAAGACTACCGTCTTCCTCCTTCCTCCGTAGCCCTGGCCTCTGCCTTCAGCCTTCCGCACGCTCTCCGCGAAGCTTCGTGCCTGCACGTCGACTGCAGCATTGCTGTCCCGGCTCTGCGCCTCGACATTCCTTCTAATTGTGGCCTCCTCATTCCATCGAGAGTGGTCGCCAAAAGCTTCGTCTTTGTCTTCCTCGCGGATAGAAGCGAGCGCGGCACCAGCTGCAGCACCTGCCGCGGCCCAGCCCGCAGCTGTCTTCTTGCTCACGGTATCGAAGAGCTGCTGTGGTGATGGTGTGCGACGAATGACGCCTTGTGCGCGGCCGAGCAGCGTGCCATCGCCGTAGCCATAGCCCTCACCGCCCCCTTCCCCTACAGGAAACCCAGAGACATCGCGTGGTGCAGGCGCCCTGCCCTGTCGCTTTTCGTGGGCCGAATCTTCGCCATAGGAGAGATCGTCATCGGACGAGTAGTCGCGGCTGTCCTCGCGCGCACTCCAGACCCAGGCTGCGAGACCGGCGGTTGCGACGGTGACGGTGAGGATCAGAGGAACGTAGAAGCCGAGGGCGCCGCGGTTGCGCGAGTTGTTTTGGCGGCGGTCGTAGCGGTCGTAGTTGAAGGACGACATGGCGTCTCAGGTCATGGTATCGTGAAATGTTTCGTGGCGGGTCGGGCGTTGTTTTGGTCGTCAGCCGCTGCCGCTCGGCTGCTTCCCTGTTGTTGACGGCCGGCACGCCAGGGCGAGTGGCTGGGAGCTGAAGCTTGCCTGCCTGCCTGACACGCGCTTACAGGCCCTCGGGGAGTGTGCGCGAGTCAGCCGCCCTCGAACTTTTGGCGGCGGGGTGACTCTAACACCCCACACGCCTTTGTACCTGCAGCATCACCCGGCTGATATACGCCAATACCATTTCACAAGCGAAGCCAGAAACAGGACCTTCCTGTCTAAACCATATCGAAATAGGCCAGTGCTGCAACTCTACACTCACATCGCGACACCCACCGCACACACCACAATGCCTCACGCGACGAGTCTGCCCGCGCCGGGCTTCCAGGCCCTCATTTTGTGCGGACCTGGTGCTTCCTTCAGTACCTTCACATCTACGCCCAAGGAGATACCAAAGGCCCTGCTGCCCATTGCGAACAGGCCTATGGTCTGGTATCCTCTGGAATGGTGTTACCGCATGGGAGTCACAGGTATACCATTACGCCCATCTGTCTTTTGTATTTTGTACTAATATCTTATAGACATCACAGTCGTGACACCGCCAGAATCATTAGAAGCCATCGAGGCTGCCATGTCGCAAAACCCACACCTCACAACCCTCCCCTCGCCGAAACCAGATATCCTTGCGCCGAAAGACCTTTCACATCAGACGAGTACTGGCGACCTCTTCCGGTTACCTGAGCTACAAAACGCGATTAAAGGCGACTTCATAGTACTGCCATGCGATCTCGTATGCGAACTGGACGGCACGGCGTTGGCAGACGCATGGATGGTAGAGCAGGGCGGATTCGCAGGAGCTAGCGGTGGACTAGATCACAACGGCAGCAAAATTGCTTTCGGCGCTGGCGGAGAGAAGCTCGGAAGAAGAGGCGGCATGGGCGTGTGGTACCAGGCCAAGGGAGAAGGCAGCAGGAAGAAGGAGGAGACGGATTTCATCGCGACAACACCGCTACCTACGTCCATCGTCCCTGTTCCGACAGACTCGCTGCGCCGCAACATCTCGAAATTGGTCTACTCCGTACCCACCGACACGCTGAACGACATCACCGAGGAGAACAAGACATTCCCGCTACGACATTCCCTCATTCGCCAGCACGCGCGGATAAGAATGCTTACGACCCATCGCGACGCACACATCTACTTCTTCCCATATTGGGTTATTGAGATGATCAAGAAGAACGAGAAATTCGAGAGTATCAGCGAGGAGGTTTTGGGGTGGTGGGCGAAGGCGGGCTGGCAAAACGGTCTGGGAGACAAGTTGGGTTTGCGACAAATACTTCAGGGCGAGGACGAGGAGTCGGATCATGGGTCGCAGGTTGTCGAGGAAGAGATCGATGTATCCAAATTCAGCACCACATACTCAGGCGGTAACACAGAATCCGACTCAAAGGCTCCCACGACACTCGCGTCGAGAGTCACAAAATCGTCCAGCATACCCGAATCCGCGAAATCGCTCACCTCGAATACGAAGCTTACGGTACCACCAATCCTTGCCTACGTCCAACCGTCGGGACCTGCCGAACCCCTCATTCGCCGTGTAGACGACTCACATCTTTTGCTTACCGTCTCACTCCGCCTAGCAAAGCTACAGTCGATCGAGGAGGTCGGCAAAGAAGCAGCATCACCATTCGCCCATCAGTCGAAAATCGTCCACAAGGAGTCTATCCCCCGGAAGTGTCGTGTAGAAGCCGAGAACTCACTGTTAGCGGACAACGTCATCGTAGAAGAGAAGACCAACATCAAGGAAAGCGTCATCGGTCCAAACTGCAAGATCAGCGAGGGCGCTAGGTTGTTGAGGTGTTTGTTGATGGACGGAGTCGAAATCGGACCCAACGTACAACTCACAGACTGTATATTGGGCCGGAGATGTAAGATGGAGGGTGGCGATGCTAAAGACGGCGACAAGACTGTTCTCAAGGACTGCGAGGTTCAGGATGGACAGGTTGTGGAGTGGGGTAGTACGTATCTCCTGATTCGGTTTGTGGAGAAGACACTGCTAATCATTATGCAGCTGAGGCGAAGAATGAGAAGTTTATGCGCTTTGATGTCGGCGATGATGTGGGTAGTGAAGGCTTTGGCGGAGACGAGATGGACACTTTGAATGATGATGGGGATGAAGGTATCCCGTTGCGGTAATCGTTGGCCCGTGAGAAGGACGAGGAAACACGCGTTACGACAGTACGAATTAACATGCAACCGAACAAGCCGTGGCTTTTCACCCTCGAGAATAAGGATGATAGCGTGTGTCGGTCCGGGACCTTTCTAGCTCGACCACTCGTCTTGGCCATGCTCACAGGAAACGATGAATCGTTTGCTCGTAGGGAAGTCTCGTCGATCTCGCTATAAAGTGCAAAATGCGAGAGATTCACGGCCACGACGTTCAGTACCTTACTTGTCACGCTTTGCCCAACTTGCGGTAACCTCAAGGTCCGTTTGCTACCTGGGTAACACATAAGCTTGGCGTCACGGGTACCCGCGTCCTGTCTTGCGTTCTTGTTTCGCCCTCACGTCAACATCTCTCACTTAATCAATTTTGTTACAGGTCGCATCTGCATCAGCATCTCTTATTCCCTACCTCTCACCACCTACATAGCATGTCATACACCCCAAACGATCCCGATGCGGTTATACCAACAAGGCACTTTTGCGACGGCTGCAAGCAGGGAACCACTTCTAAACTGGACTGCGCGAATCTGCAGAAGGTCGTATGCTTCACCTGTCCTCGTCGAGATCACTTCAGCGGCGACTGTGACAATTTGATACGCAAAAGCAACCCTCCGTCAAGTGTACCAGCCTTTTGGTCCTCGCTCCCGCTGCGGCGGCTGTTCCCCACTATCAGCACGAGAAGTTCCACCACAGGGCTACGTACCCAGTCAACAGATGGGGTAAATGCAACACCATGTGAGAGCGAGGAATATAACGAAAGAAAAGATGTCGAGATACAACTCCTAGACTGGCAAGGTCGCTGCAACGATGCTTTACGTCTGCTGCGAGCATGCGATCGCCAGGACACAGCCGATGCCTTGGAACTCCAGCGTCCAGAACCTCGCGGGTGGAGAGAACCCTCGGGGAAGGAGTACACACATGTACATGAATACGAAAAGGTTGCCAATATATTCAGCGACCAAGTCCTGGTGACCCGGGATTCAAGCCTTAGACTAACGCGGAGGAAACAGCATCTTAACGCGACGAAGAAATATTGCCTTGCCATCTTTCACAAACTCGAAGCGTTTGGCCTTGCGGAAGCGGGTAAGACGCCTTGAACCAAGTCCACAAATGACTAAGACCTGACTGTCAACCACAGCAATGGATCCCCTCGCCCGCTGGCACATCGACCCCAAGTCTTCCGCGATCGAGTCGGAAAGCCAGAAGATCTTATCTCACATCCCCACCAGCGCCCCGAGTACGGCCGGCTCGATGGCCAACTTCGTAGACCTCATGCACCGACACATCACCCACCTATACGAAATGCCCGGCGACACCCTCTACTCCCGCTACACGATAGCCTTCAAGATGATCCAAACCGCCGTCCGCTGGAAGTTCACCGGTACAACCTTTATGCAGAACAGTGTCCACACCTCCATTATTTCACCTGCAGAGATCACGCGTCTTTTCCGGCCGCTGGATACGCAGTTTAAGGGTATACTGGAAGAGGGGTTGATGAGGAAGGGAGGTTTGCCGTGGGATCAGGCGCTGTGTTTCTTGGAGACGCATGGTGTGGAGCGGTTGTATGCGGGTTCTTGGAGGTGGCTGAGGGAGCTGTTTCATTATGAGGATGGTGGGTTGGCGCCGTGATGTTGGGGGATGTTTGGGCTGTGACGTCTTTACTGTCTTGTCTGTCCGAGCTGCGATGGGGCTTGTGTTTAGCCTTCTGGTCATTTCGTATTCGTGTTTACTCTGCATGTATACTACTGTTCGCTATATATTTAGGGGACGGTCACGAAATGTGGGAACAATGTCGCGTGAAAAGATGGAGATGTGATGACAGCTCATTCTAGATTGCGCTAGCGCCAGGTCCCTTCCCCGTACCTGCACAACGAATCTCACCGCATATCACGCAATACACGATAGACCTGACGTCGGGTCTCCAATCGGCTTTTGATGTGAGGTGGATCTCAAGCTACATTCGACGAGTACAAGGTCAGGTTGTCTACGCTAGGCTGCCCGGCACGACTTACCCAATGCGGACAAATATCACGGAGAGGAGAAGAAGGGGTAGGCAGCAATCAGTGCTCAACGGGGCCAAAGTAGTACTCAGTCGTAGCTTGGTCTATGTATATGAAGAACGGTAGTTGTCGCTGAACATTAGATAATTAACTCCAAATCCCCCAACTTCTCCTTCAAACACAACCCCACACATCACCAGCCAGTAAGTAGCGACACCACCTTAATCAATTCAGCGTCGACTAGGAAACACATACTTACCATTCTATAGTGTCTCAGAAATACGTACCTCTCACCATCATCAAGGGCGCGGGCCATGAGTACATCCCCATCCCCGAGGGCGAGAGCGCCATCGTCGCAGACTTCCACTCGTAAGTCCACCAACCACTGCACCTCACAACATCAACATCCCCACCTCTTCTCCAAACCAAACTCCTAGTCTTCCCAACTAACGCACCCCCAGCATCCGCACCCAAACCACCGACTCCCCCACATACCTGACCTCAGGCTTCTACCGCATCAAAGCGGGCCCCACACGCAACATCCCCACCTACGACTACGAGGAAACCAAGTACGTTCTCAACGGCCAAATCGACGTCTTAGACGAGGCGACCGGTGTCACACACCACCTTGTCGCTGGCGACTTTGCTTTCTTCCACGTTGGCTCCAAGGCGCAGTTCTCAAGCAAATCGGGCGGAACGGCTTTCTTTGCGGTTACTAGGCCGGTTATTACGCAACATCCGGGGTTGAAGGGGAGGGAGGAGAAGGTGCTGAGCAAGTTGTAGAGGGGTAGATGCTTCATGCGAAGAATCGTCTAGGATCGAGTATGGCGGCGGCGAATGATGGACGACGAGGATGGCTTTGGCGGGCGCAATCTCGTGACATGTATCGCTGCGAGGAACTAAAGGAACGAGTTGTCGAATTTGATGAAATTGAATGACGAATAATGGACTACATTACCCCAATACTGAAGTACTGACGAAAACGCCTCAGGTATGAGGTATTGGCGTAATGTGGTCCATCGTACGTCAATTAATCTCATTAATGGAACCCATTCCTCGATGCCAAAGTCTCTATCGAATTCAAAATCCAGCACTCAAAAATGCAGTGATACAATCTTTGATACTCTGGCGCCAATGTATAGGTGTCAAACCTCGTGAATGGACAGCGCACCCTAGAAGAAGACGTTGGCCTGTCGATGAAGCTGCGATATTCCCGAGATAGCTCCGAGATATTATCGTGCTCTGGCGGGGTCCAGATTGATATGCCGCTAACGTCATCTGGACCCTTCGATCGCGACATTCTTTCATGTGTACGCCACCATCTCAACTCATGCATCGTGTATTCTCAACACCACGAGGATGGCGCAGTCGCCTCTATCCGGCGTCATGATGCCGCCACGCTTCAATATCGAGTTGGACCGTACGGATCCCGACGTTCCCTTCCGCGCATCGCAGTCACACATCCATCACACATGGGCTCGGACGTTTCATTCGCGGCCGGAGCTCTACATCCGGCCGCAGAGTCTTCAGGAAGTGCAGAAGGTTGTTAACCTCGCGAGACGCATGCGAAGGCGCGTCGTCACTGTAGGATGCGGACATTCACCCTCAGACATAACGTGCACGTCGGCATGGATGATCAACCTGGACGACTATAAGGAGGTGTTGAACGTTGACAAGGAGCGCAAGACGATGACTGTACAGGCTGGAATACGCCTACATAATCTCAACCTCCAAGCGAAGAGCCACGGCTTGACGATGCCGAATCTCGGATCCATCGACGATCAATCGCTGGCGGGAGCGATTGCGACGGCGACGCACGGCAGTTCATACAACCACGGCCTCCTCTCCGACCGCGTCCAGAGCCTCCGTATAGTACTGGCGAACGGCCAAGCGGTACGCTGCTCACCCCAGCAATCGCCAGATCTCTTCCGGGCAGCGCTCGTTTCGCTGGGCGCATTGGGCATTATCGTCGAAATCGAGTTCCAGATGATCGAAGCGAACAACGTCGAATGGATACAGACTATATTACCGATTGAAGACGTCTTGGCAAATTGGAACAACGGGCTGTGGACATCGAGCGAGTTTACGCGAGTATGGTGGCTACCGTACATGAAGCGCGCAGTCGTATGGCGGGCAGACAAGACGGACAAGGCACATAGGCAACCGGAGTACAACTGGTATGGCGGTAGTGTCGGCTTCCACACCTACCACATCCTTCTCTGGATTTCGCAGTACGTTCCGCGCTTCCTGCCTTGGGTTGAGTGGTTCGTCTTCGGCATGCAATACGGTTTCAAGGATGGTGCTCTCATCTCTGCGGTTGGCGAGCAGCGCACGGAATTGTTGATGAACTGTCTCTACTCGCAATTCGTCAACGAGTGGAGTGTTCCCCTCGATAAAGGTCCTGAGGTATTGTCGCGGCTGACGGACTGGTTGCACGGCGACGAGCAATCCTCCGGCATTCCTTTCAGCACCAAAGGCCTCTACGTCCACTCGCCTATCGAAGTCCGCATCGCAAACACTGTCAACCGAGAACCGCGTCCATTCCTTGATACTTCATATCCCGATCAACCCGCTCTGTACCTTAACGCCACGCTCTACCGTCCCTACGGCCAGGACCCCCCTTGCCGCGAACGCTACTACCAAGCTTTTGAACACCTGATGAAAGAGTACAACGGCCGACCTCACTGGGCAAAGAACTTCCAATCCGTCGACAACGCCTACCTATCCTCTGTATACGGCAACGACCTAGACGAATACAACCGCGTCCGCAACGAAGTCGACCCCGAAGGCATGTTCCTCGGCGCCTGGCACCGTCGCACCATCCTCCCTCCCAAGACCGATCTCCCTCTACTCCCCCTCGAAGAAAAGGAAGTCGTACGCCGTGACCGACGCACTGGTGGAGTCGACTGGATAGGCGAGCAAGCCCGGTGGTTCGACGGCGGTGCTGATGTGTTTGAGAAGGCAGGTAGCGAGTCTGGCGAGAGCTTCGATTACATGGCTGGCGCGGAAGCGGAGAGCAGTGTGTTGTTGGAGAGCTTGAGCGATGAGCTTATTGTAACGGAGGAAACTTATGAGAATGTCACCGAGAGTCGGAGGAGAGAGGGCACTGAGGAGTATGTTACGGGTACGAATGTGTTCAATAAGATGTAGATGTATATACTAGGAGGGGAAATACACCACTCAATGAAGATATGATAATGATGTATCAGTATTGCGATGCTTGCTTGTCTCCATTGCCGTGATGAATAAATGTTGTATCTCTAGGGTGGCTTGCGTGCCAGTGCGCCCAATCGGGTAAGGCGCATCCGTGGCTTCCCATCGTCATACTTCCAACATTGACGCGTCTGCCACCATCACTCACGTTCACTACAGTCAGTCGAAGACATGGTGACTATCAACGAAAAAATGTCGTCGACTGCATACCCCTCTCCCTGTGGCGAACGTCGCGATCGACGATAATATATCGAGCGGATGGACCCGTCGGCAAGAAGCCGGCTCCAGAAGTGAACATGGGCAACAGCGTCTCATTCTTGGATAGGGGAAATTGCTGCACTGCGTTCTTCTTCATAAACCTCGTTGTGTCCCATCGTCACTCGACTAACAGCATTACAGTGTTGATACATGTTCGGTCGACCGTGTACTGGCGATAACACAGCACGTCCCCGGACATTGGCCTTTGCCATAGAGTATGTCCAACTTTGCTCAGCACTCAATCTCCTCATGCCCGAAGATTGGCCCTACAAACTAAAGGCCTCACGGATGAGGAGACCCGTAACGAGGACTTCTATCACAGTTCGACGCCACATGCAGCCACCCCTTACGTCTTCTCGGCTGATGGGCGTTATTTCCGCTTGCGAGATCATGACCCACAAGTAATATATCTCCTACCTTGGCAGCCACGTTCTGAGCTTGGCATGCAGCCACAACACGAGGAAAGCTTGGCCGATTCTAGAAGGTGGCCGACATGATTGCTTGGAAGTCTGCTTGCAGGGATATAGGAGAAAAGGAAGTCAATGCAGGGAGTTCAAGGCGAACGATATTTGAACGAGCGATTAGATTGACACATTACGGACTAGTTCGAACGACCCGCATCGCCCGTATCTACAGTCTAATTCGGACAGCAACCGAAGCGCCGCCATTGTCTGTTCTTGCACACCGACTGCTCATCCGATTATCCGCGACCCATCCTGACTTAGGAAGTCTGCACATAGATGTCCGAGCTGCCAGAAGACTGGTAACCCTCAGTGGCGACAATCTGGTAGTAGTGCTGGCCCAAGTTCATGCCGTAACGGGCCCAGGCGTTGAAGTGGTTTTGCATGTTGACGCTGCCTCCGACACGCTTCTGCGTGCGGACAGACCTGAGAGTTTGTTAGTGTGCGTCCGGCATCCACATGTCGCTTGCAGACTTACCAGTACTGCTGAAAGGTCCTTGTTCCATCGATGGAGGGCTGGTTGGTACGGGTGGAGGTGGAAACGTCGTAGGTACCGCCGTCAGTCGTGAAGCTGCCCTTGCGCTGGGATCCGCTGCTGGGGTTGTAGGTGCCGTAAGACTCGATCACGTAGTACTCCACAAGCGGGTTGCGGGTCCAACCGTAGACGGCAAGGTAACCGTTACCCTGAGGCTGGAAAGATCCGCCGTAGTTGATCGTGCTAGGATGGGGATCAGCAAATGATGAAGCTTAGTTCTTCCAGATGACATACCGGCCGGTTCCAGGGTTCCATCCCTTGCCACCGACGAAGTTGCCGGTGTTCCTCCAGGTCACGGAGTACCTGCTGCCCTCTCCCATGGTGTACTGAGCGGAACCACCGCCATCAGTCCACCACGAGTAGAAGTACCCGTTGTTGTAGCCCTCGGAGCTGGGAGTGGACTGACGCTTCTCAAGAGCAGTTGCGTTGCCATCGTCACGCTCAGTGAGGAAGTCGAAGGGAGCGGCGAGCACGCTGGTGGTAGCCACAGCGGCGAGAAGGAGAGACTTGAAAGAGACCATGTTGAGCTGAGTTGGAGATCTGTGCTGGATGCGGTGATGATACTGAACTGCGAGCAGCAGCGAGCTTATATGTCGACCTCGAGGTGGAGATGAGCCTGAATCGCTGGAAGAAGTCGCCTTTGGTGGTCATGAGGTATCATCTCGCCTCTGTCTACATCCGTCTTGGTGTCAACGACGATGGTGTGTTCCAGTCCTCTCATTTCGAAAAGCACGCCCAGCGCACTGACTAGAGCGGCCTAAGAACCACGATCGCGGCAAGCTGCACCGTTCAGTGACCGGCCTCGGTAATCATGGAAAAGATAGAAGAGCACAAAGATCCATGCCCCTTGCACCCATCTGCACGACACCACAAAGATAATATCGCTGATCCGGGCTTTACGCGCTTTCTCAACCCGGTTCACAGGATGTTAATATAAAAGAACGCCACTAGGGTACAGGTGGTCGCCTTACCCCACACTCCTCGGAAGACAACGAAGCTTGGAAGGAACACCCGCCGCGCTAATGTCATGTAGGCGATGATATTGTTAGCGACAGTGGCGCACGTGATGAAACATTGGGCGCTCATGGCGGGAAGCCTCGGCAAACTCAGGATAACCACCGGATGAAGAGGATCTGCCAAGATGTATAGTAGCCGGCTTTTCTACCGATCCTGGTAAGACATGCCAAGCGCGGTGGGTATCTTGAGCGGAGATGATGTGTGGAGTGCATGAGTGGATCTCGAGGTCGGTGAGTACATGAAAACAATGTTACTATGCATTACATGAGCGCATAATGGTGGTGTTATTACTGACAGGT